AATGTTTTTTGTTTTAGACTAGATTTTGATCCAGTTGTTGTGNTGGCGTTTTCATAGTGAACAGCGCCTTTGTTTGCAAACGGATGCATAAGAAGAGATTTCGAGGGATTTATGAATTTCGATTCATCGATGCAAAGTTGACATTCGAAAGCGCTCTTCGAACTAATCGATTTTCAGGGAATGAAAGTCATTTCTCTCACAATCAAAGAGTCTGAAAATTTACCTAAAAACTAATCGTATCGTTAGATAGCCAGTTAGTAGACTCATTCGATTGAGTATTAATGAGATCACATCAATCGAGCAAACAACCATTTTGATTGTTCATTCAAACAGGTTCCAAATGAGCCTTATTTGTTGACTGAACATTTGCTATTTCAGAGGAATTTGAAGTGATACGAAACGATGATATGGCTCCTATTGCACCTCAAGCACCCGAGCCCAAAATTCTAACGTTCGTCTCTTTTCACCTTCCCTATGATCACTTATACTATCAGCATTTTTGTTGCTGTCCAAATCGCTCATTATGAATCAATCATCAAAGAGAGTCTACCTTTAGTTTCTGATTCCACTAAATATCAGCAGAAACAAACGGTTTTGCGAGTTAACAAGAATGATTTTGCGATTTTTTGTTTTAGACTAGATTTTGATCCAGTTGTTGTGCATACGACAGCGCTTCTTCGCTATCGACGAATGTTAGCCGAACCAGGTATAACTGCGGCTCGAATCGGTCCAGTTCCTGAATGTGCTACCTCGAAACCGGCTCTTCTTAGTTCAGCGTAACGATTTCGATTCATATGAAGAACATACTTTAATGATGTTTGAGTAATCGTTCGCGAGTGTAATGTTAAACAAACAATGAAGCATTAAACATTAATCAGCGAAATCAGTTGAAATTTAAATAATGTTGTGCAATTTTGTGTTCGTGCATTAGTGACCATGAACAAATGGATGCGTAACGCTACCACTATAAAAGCGATATGAAGTAAAACAATAAAAACACAAAGAATTTTTGCATAAGCATAATGATAATGATAGACTTGATAATAGTGATGGTAATGAAC